TCCTGGAAACAGCCAGCCTGAGGATTAAGCCAACCCAGAAGACAGCAAGAGGGAGTGAGAAAGAGAGAGAGACCTATTGATGTCATTTGAGCCTAATCTGAAGCCAGATTCAACACTTAAAGAAATCATAATGTTCCTTTTCTGCTTAAACTAGTTGGAGTTGGGTTTCTGACACTTGCAACTGAAAAGTACTGACTGATTTAGCATCTTTCCCATAAGATGCTCCTGATCCCATCTCCTATTTCCTCCAGAACCTTGCTGTTTCCTCTTGTAGCTTCTCTTGCTTCCTCTTTATTGACTCTTTCTCCTCAGTATGAAGTATCCTTCAACCTCTCCTCATCCTAAAAGAAAAAAGCAAAAACAAGCAAACAAACTCTCTTGACCCTGTGCACCCTTCTATTTATTTGCTCCCCTCTCCTTGAATTCTGATTCCAGGTTCTTTGTGAAAGAGCCCTGTCTTAGTCTGTTCAGGCTGCTATAGCGAAATACCACAGACTGGGTAGCTTACAAACAACAGAAATTTATTTCTCACAGCTCTGAAGGCTGGGAAGTTCAAGATCATGGTGCCAGCATGGTTGTATTGTGGTGAGAGCCCTTTTCCTGGTTCATAGCTAGCTCCTTCTTGCTGTGTCCTCACTTGGTAAAAGGGACAAGGGATCTCTGTGGGGTCTCTTTTATAAGAACACTAATCCCATTTATGAGCGCTCCACCCTCATGACCTAGGCACCTCCTGAAGGCCCCACCTCCTAATACCATCACATTGGGCATCAGGATTTCAACACATGAATTTTAGGGAGAAACAAACATTCAGACTATAGCAAGCCTCTAACACAATTTACTTCCTCACTTCTCATTCTCTTCTCAACCCACTACGATTTCACTTTCACTTCTGTCTTCTCTTAAAACTGTTTTCAGTAAGGTCAGCAATGACTTGCTAATGGTTCAATATACAGGATACTTTTTTAGTCCTGATCTTTCCTGACCACCTGCTTCCCTAGAGGGCCCAGTGGAGGTCACATATCTAGATTCACAATGTCATACAGCCATGGCATTTATAATCATTAGTCCTCATGAGACTGAAGTCAATATGTTCTCCCTTCATGCCTTCTGTTTTCATCCTTCTTCTCTAAGATGACTCAAAATCTATGCTATGGTTTTTAGTGGGCAACAGTAATGTAGTTCTGGGCTGTACTTCCTTCTGGGAATGTAATTTTGCTTGGTGCTGTAGGGGTGAAGATTGTAAACTTGTGAAAGAAGGGCTAGTGCTATGATAATCTCATGCGTCCTATTGACACTTTAGACACTGTTAAATGTAAGCATATGAGAAACTTGGGTTTGTATTAATTCAAACCTGGAGGTCCTAAGGAATTACACCCATTTCAGTAAAAGAGAGTTTAGATGGCAGCTATTGAAGGAATGCAGGCAGCTAAGAGACACCCTCCAGTCTGAGATTAAGAAATGGATGGGAAGTAGAGAATTGTTTGGGGCTTTTAACCTACTAGAGTAGAGGATTCTAATTTTTTAAACTTTAATTTCTCACTGAGGTCTTAACATGAGAGGTGGCTCATATTGCTCGAATCGGGGCACTACTGTTTTTCTGTTGCAGATTCCTAAACTGTAGTTCTAGTCCAGACTTCTTTCTTGAGCTTCAGGGCCATGTATCCAGTGCCTGTTTATATATTCTCTTGAATGTTTTATAGTGATCTCCAACTTGCCTCATCGCTACAATCTGCTTTTCCTCCTGTGCGTGGCTATCTTCCAGCTGCCAAGATGCCTGGGAATGATTCTATGTTCCTCTTTCCCTCAATTTCTCTTACATCTACTTCTTGGTAGGATTTCCAGTACATTAGTTAGAAATCCTCATGACCCTGGCCTTTGTCCTCCAATCATTGTTCATACTGAAGCTAAGTGATCTTTAAAAGGTTCAAATTTGATTTTGTAACTCACTGTTTAAAATTTTCCTATTGACCTCTGTACAAAGATAAGACTCCTTAGTACAGTTTAACAGGCCCTCTATCTGCTCAGTTCTTGACATGCCCTCTTTGAACGTTTCTATGGTTTTTCTGTTTCAAGGTCTTGCATGTCATTCCCCAGTAATCCTCTTTTCTTCTCTACTCCTATTAGTTTTTACCTGGCTAATTTGTATGGGTTCTTCAGGACTCAGTTTAGAGACCTCAAAATTCAGGAAATGTCTCTCCCCTGACCATCCTCCCCAAGGTTGAGTGGGTCCACTCTGGGTTAATGACTATCATAGCACTCACCTTATGGTAATTACACTTGCTTGCTTTTTTCCACTCTAAGCTCCTTGAGAGCAGAGACTTGTCTTGTTCACCTTAGCATATCAGTATTCTCATAGTTTTTTAAAAAGTACAAAATAGTAACCCCAAAACAAAGTAAAATAAAATTCTAATATTAGAATGGCAGAGCAGACCCAGAGAAAAATATAGGGACTCTGGCTACGGCTATTGACTTCAAGTCTTTGAATTAAAATAGAATTGGGAAATAAATCAAAAGCTATTCATTAATTCAACAAATGGATGTGTTCAAATAGGTATTTGGTATCATGTGGAAGTATCTTCAGTTACACATGATTATGCATGTTTGATTTACAATTAACAAAAACTCTCTTTATCAACACAATAATTATAACAATAGGTTGTATTCATTAGGTTGCCAAGTGTGCTAAGCACTTTGTTGGTTATTTCTTTTAATTTAATTTCTTCTATTTAAGTAAATCCATCATAAATTATAGAGGAAAAAAACCAAAAACAAATACTAAAGCTTTGCAAGGGTTTCTGGCATATTAGCTAAAAACTTTAAGAAATCAGCCTGGATTTTGCTTTGCAACATTCCAGATATATTATATCTATTCTTCACGCTTTCCATGTCCCCAGGAGATAGCCATCTGAATAGTGGATTCCTGGAATGTATTTAGCCTTTGTTGTTATAAGGAGGATACCACCAAAATGATTAATAACAACATTTTGCACTGGTGTAGTCAGTTTACCTTTCAAAGGATACCTACATACAATACCTTACAGGTACATTTTATAGGAAAAAATAGTCATGTTCAAAAAAAAGTAGAAACATTTTGTCCCTCTTAAAATATACCTTAACATAAATTTGATTTTTATGAGTCCAAACTAAGATGATATAATTAACTGATCGGCTTCAAGGGCCCATGAGTGCACCCTCCTAAGCAGTGAGGAAAATGGGCTTGCTGAAATTGAGAGGCTGGTGGTCAATGGCGATGTCAAGGGAACAGTGAATCAGTAAAGTTGGGGTGCACCTCCTGAATCCCCAATGGCTGCCCTTGGGGCCATGGAAACCACGTTTTACCCATGACATGGAGGGTGCCTCTTCCTTTTAATCTTTGATAAACTTACCTCAGAAGGGAAATTATGCTATCTCCTTCACTGCCATCTTCCCACGAGGCTCCTTCTCACCAAGCCAAACCAATTAGCTCTGCTCACAGGGGAAAGGAGACCAACCACTGTTGATGACTGCATGGGGTATTACTCTGGGCCCTGAGTCAGTGTGCAGCTTCACAGATTGAACCATGGATAACAAAGGAGCTATTCTCGGGAAGAGAAGTATAATTTGGGTGAAATAATATTAATTGAAATATAACCATATATAATGAAAGTCCTTAGGGTGTTGCTTCTAAGTCCAGTTCCCAATAGTAATATTATATGAGGGTTACCACTCTTTCCTATTTTTTCACCATATTGTTTGGGTTGCTTGGTGGTTGGACATTTAGATAAGTTGTATGAAGGTGTGTATAAAGATATAATAGGATTTTAAGATAAATCAAACAAGCAATTCCAGTACATAGAAAATTTAATTTGAAATAACTTAAAATATTTCATCAAGAAGTTTTAATTCAGTGCCTTGGCACCAGACACTTAAGAAAATGTTTGGGTCTGATCTCAAATTAGTTTAGGTAAACAGAAATAACAAAAAATTTATATATAGGTATGTGTATATGTATGTACACACACATACATACATGTAGACATATATTCAAGTTACATATGTATATAGATTCAAGATATATATGGATTTAATATGTATACAGATTCAAGATATATAGGAATTCAAGATATATATAGATTCAAGATATATATGGATTTAATATGTATACAGATTCAAGATATATAGGAATTCAAGATATATATAGATTCAAGATATATATAAATTTACCCTTACTCAGGGGTGAAATTCTCTAGTTTTACTAATGGCACATATTTTGGAAAAATTACTCCCAAAAGGGGCACTTTAATCATATATGGAACAGTCTCTACTCTTCCACTTTTAACTATTGTAGTCTTCTTTCAAGTTGTTAATTCAGATATAAAATGAAACTCACTTTCTTTGATTCAGAGACGATCCAGAGCTGGAAGAAACCTGAGTAAGCACTTGGGCCTGTTTCCTGTCCTCAGGCAGACAGATGAACTAAAGCCACCAAGAGAGATGGACTGTTTGTTGCTTAAAAGATCATATTTCTCAACTACCAGGTACATGCATCTATTTAATGGAGTGATTTTCTTAGAATAATCTTTTCATTAGCTATAGAACATAGTAAAGTAGCCATGTACAATTAAATTTGTAGCTTGCTTCCAATCTGACTTTTTCTAGAAAAGCTTCCTCCAAAGTTAGTAGCAGTAGCAAGCATGGCAGAAGGAGAAATGTGGTCTTCTATTGGAGTGAGACTATTTCAAATGGTGAAGTCTTTTCAGCTAAACGTTTTGTAGAAGTTTCTTGGGAGTGCACAATTTCCTTTAGTGCACACCCAAAGACTTGTATTCTCACATGTGTACAAACACTCGGGGTTTCCAAAGTCCCTTGTACTTTCACTTTTCTGTGGCCTTTTGAGACATAATAAAAAAAGACTCCATGATTTACTAAATGTACCAAATTGTTAAAACTTGACAAGTATGTCAATTTAGATCCTAAATTTGGGGTTACATACCTAAAATGAAGCATCAAGACCATAAAAGAACATGAAAATTTTATTTTTATAGGGGACTTCACAGAAAGAACATATTTCTGTTGTGTGTGTATAAGTATTTTTGTTTCCTTAGCTTGTCTTTGTTCTGTGTACACGAGTAGGAGAAGATTCTTTTCTTTGTTTATTTTGGTTTGGTCAAGGATGTTCATGATATAATATTTGAATTACGAAGGATTTTGTTTTATTTATTTTAAGTGGTGAAAACTGTAGTTCTTAATCTATGAAGAAGAATTTTCTAGGTGAATAAATAAGAAAAATACAAAATATTAGGAAAATATGTAAACTCAAGTTATGAGGTATTTCAAAGATACAGTGCCAGTAAAAATTCTCTTTCCCACAATTTGCAACTGCCAGATCTCTTGCTTTAGTCTTTTTATCCTTACATTTGTAGAAACACAAAAGTTTGAGTTAAAAGCCCTTTTGTGGATGTGAGAGTCGCAGTAGTTCAGAGGAGAGTCAGAAAAGGAAAGTAATAAAGCAATATTTAAATGTCTTTATATAAGAACAAAAATATTTCCTTAAAAACTTATTAAAAGACTTTTATTTTTTAATCCTATAAACATTCTCTTTTGTAGGGCACATGATTGTCTGTGTGACCACTCTTTCCAGAGGGAAGTTTCTTGTTTTTAAATACTAGGAAAGTATGACATTCAAATTAGATTTTCCCTGCTATATTTAGTTTTACAGATGTGTTTAGTTCTAAAACTGCGGTTTACTGTATTCTGGGGAGAGTATGTATATAAAAAAATCCCAGGAAACCTTTTCACCCAGCTCAGACGCAATCAATTTTAACACTGCACCATGATCTCTCAATTCCTGTAGCTTATTGCTTCTGTTAACTAGAAATCCCCGAATTCTCTGCATCTAACTTTCCATGGCTAGAGTCTGAGAAAATGACCCGTTATCACTTTTTTGAATAGCCAAATTTTTAAAGTTTATCAAAGCTTTTTGATCTTTTTCTGAGTTAAATAGGTTGTTCCTCTCACATTACAAGAATCAGGAATTCCCAGCAAACAGATTTCATTATGAATAATGCACATACCAGAAACAGGCAGATCACACATGAATATGCTCTTAGTCAACATACACAGGCATTCACTCAAGGGGTAAACCAGTAATGAGCCAAACATACATACATGTGCAAATGTACAATTGACAGCAAATTATTTTAGATCCTATTGTCCTTTGAATATTAAAAATGAGCCAGGAGACAGCTCCTGTGACATCTGTATGAAAGCTCTAGATTGTAATTTTCATGTAGAAGTAGCTTCATATCACATCTTGTGAGTTTCGTATTGCACAGCAAAGGACCATGCTAAAGATCATGCCAAGGATCTGAAACAGAAGGAATCACTTGTTAATGACTTTCAAATGATAAAAACTGATAAAAAGGTCAGCAAACTGCCAGGATGTCTAACTCAAGTTAACAAATAATTATCACCAATAATTACTGGTTTTAAATGGCATTTTTATATATGCTACTTAATTATGGCTAACGGTTAAAGACTTTAATATTAACACTGCTTAAACTGGTTTTGGAATTTTATATTTCAGGTTAATCTAGATCTCTTTTGTATATTTACTTTGAAAAATATGTTCATAACCACTAGTTGTTTAAATACGCTTGTGGTCTAAATAGTTTTCTATTCTTGGAAAAGCTTTGAATTTTTGCTACAGTGACCACAATATATTAAAAAGCGGAACATTTCATTCCTGGTCCATTTTTAAGTGCAAATGATGCTTCACTGTTTAACTCAATAGTTTTACCAAAGAATAAACTGAGGTGTTTGAGCTATAGTGTTACTGACATCTTCTATTTCTTGGATACTTCTTTGAGAAGCCAAATATTTGGCAAAATCAATAGCCACTTATATGATTTGAGTAGAAGGATGCCGAAAGATCCTTCTTGTCCTTAATCATTTCCCCTACAATTTTGCAGAGCCTGTGGAATGCAATCTGTGGGTGCAATGTTTATAAACTACTGTCAGTGTTTGTTTAAAGAAATCAGTATCATAACTCTGGTCCTCTCCTCAATCCCATCCTACATCAGACCAGGATCTGTAAATGCTAAATTGAGAAAGGCATGAATTATCAGTTATTTTGGAAGGGAAGGGGTAGACTTGAGTAATGGAATAGCCAGGAGCAGGGCTCCAAGCTTCTGGTTGACCGAACTCAGGATGAGTGTGTGGCAGGGGAGACACCTAACGGACATTTGGTTAACTGATTACACTGTGCAACTCTTACCTTATGAAGAAAAGAATTAAAGAAAGAAACTCTGGGGTTGCTGATTCAGGATGGCCAACAGAGGGCATGCCTTGACCGTGGTTGTAAGGTTGGATGCAACCCCTACTTCATGCTGGTTGTACTCTTAAGGGATCCTCTCAGAAAGAAACTTTTTCAGTCTCATTCTGCCACTGTCATGAATCAGGGGTGACCACTTCTAGGATGCTCATCCATCAAGATTGTAGAATTAAGAGAGTCTATTTGATACCACTATTAGGCAGACCGTTTTCAAATCTTCTGCCTCAGAATGGCAATTGGGCTAGCCCCAGAGCAGGTGGCGAGGGCCTGAGAGATGTCTCTGGATTGAGAGGTCCTCAGCATAGTATTTTCACCTACTTCCCCACCCCTCTGTGCTCTAAAGAGGAAAGATGCTTGTGTGTCCCCTGAGAACTGACAATTCATTGATTTCCTCACAATTCCCATTGCCCCTGCCTTAGCTTAGGTCCTGACTTAATCTATAAGAGGGCTAGAGGGTAGGTACTATCTTAGCATTAGCTATTATCACTTAACCCCTGGACAATGGAAATCACCTCTTTACTGGCCTGACTCCAATCTTGCTTCCCTCCACCTTTATCTGCACACTGCACCACAGGTCCTTCTAACCCTCAGGGTCTCCCCTAACTTAAGAATGAAGCCCAGTATCTCAAAAGGGCACACAAAGACCTCAATTACGTGGACCTTCACACCCAATCCAGTGTCATGTCTTGTTACTCCTACCATACCCTTCTGCCCCTATCAATTCTTGCACACTCTTCTTTTGTACTTTAGAAGTACTGAGCCACTTGCATGTGCCTGGATGCACTATGCTTTACACTTTCGCATAGGCTATTCCCTTTGCCTGGACTCTGGGTTTGGGAACACTCAGACTACATAGAGAGCTAGCATTTATTGAGCGCTATGTTCCAGACACTTTATAAGAATTAATTCCTAATATTACTTTATATGTATTATCTCATTTAATCTTCACAACAATCTTATGAGGTTGGTACATTAAAATCCTCATTTTATAGATGAGAGATTTGAGGCATAGAGAAATTAAGAAACTTTCCCATCATCTCAGGGCTTGTTAGTGGAGCTAGGACTTGAATCCAGACAGTGTGATGCCAGATTAGCCAGATTGCACTATTAATCACTACACTATGCAAATCATAGGTGAGAGACATTCACCTGATATGTTACTTTAAATTTCTAACAGTAGAAAGAGACTCAAAACTGAAAATCACTTGTCTAGTTTAAGCTTGGTGGCCTTAAAATGGGAAGTTATTGCAATGATAAACTCAAGGTCATAACTAGGTTAAAGCTGAAGTTTGTATCATATTTTAGAGAACTAAGTATAGATGTATCTAATCAGCTTTGTTCTTAGAAGATGTCCTGTCAACAAATGTCTTACTCTTTTACGGGAAATCTCTCCTAAGATACTGTCATATCACACTCAAAGAGAAATAAGATGCATAGGTTCAAGGCTTCTTATAGAGCAAAAAAGGCAAATTCTGGAACTTTCTCACCGTGAAACCTGCAATTCCAACACCAACAATTCCGATGAGCCGGAGCTTAACACTGATTAGGGTCTCAATTTCATTAATGCAATTCTGTTTTGGAAAAAAAAAAATCAGGAATAACAACTGATGGTATATATGAATCATGTCCCTGATCCAATCATTTCCTTCTCTACAGATCATCTTGTGAGAGTTAATCCATGTCAGCTTCTGCTCATATTTAAACGATTCCCTTAGATACCATCATTCTGACAAGCTTAAAGCAAAAATGTAGTTTGGGGAAAAAAATACAAGCTTTTCCTTTTGGTGGAATTTTCCTATTTAGGCCAATGGCTGCTTCAGAGCCCTGAAACCTGGCTGGAGAAAGCTATTCTGGGACCTGAGGCATTTAAAAATTGGGGGCCTCTTCTTACTTTCAGCAAATAAAAATAAGTAAAATATCCCCCAAATAATAGCCCCTTGCTTCTGTATTGTCATTTATAGTTTAAAAGACTTTCTACATACTTGATCCAATTTATTATGCAAGGTAGGCATTACCTAGTAAGAAGCTAAAAAGTCTGTACAGGTTCAAACTAAACAAAGAAAAGTCAAGTGTTGGGAGCTAGAGGACCATTCTCGTCTATGGTGGCTGGGCTGAGTGGATCTCTAACCTTTCATCTGTGCCCCAGAGAGACCTTTGCAGGGCAGGTTCAAAGAACCTTCATGGATGGGGGAAAATTGGACAGGGAGCAGAATAGATCACTTGTAATTGTAACTAGTTTCTCTAGCTTCTATTTGGAGTCCTCTTAAGACAGGTGTGTTCTCAACCCAGTTTTGTCCTTAGGCTGCCCAGCATATCACCGGTCAGCTCCCTCTGATACCCACATAGGCTATATGAAACCCTTATCACTATCCTCATGTATCCTATTGTACTTCATTCATTCAACAAACATTTCTGGAGCATCTACCTTGCATCAGTCACTGGAATGGCATGGTGGACATGGACATAATAAGATGTGGTTTCCTCTGCTCTCAGGGGCTCCAGGTTTAGAGAAGGACACAGACCCAAGAGAAATAATTACAACACATTCTGGTAAAGTTTGAGAACCCCTGCTCTAGATAGTGGCTCCCTCACCTACTGGAGCAAATGGGAGTCAACCTATGGGAACTCATCCAGCCTTCCTCTCCTTCACCTATAAACTTCCATGCTCCATGCACTCCATGCCAGGCACTGCTGTAGGGAGGGAGCACGCAAAGCGAACGAGGCAGCACCGCCCTTTACTTCTTTCTCTCTCATCAAAGCCAAAGAAGTGCCTTCTCTGTTGGAAGTTAATCCCTTCACTGGCTCTGGGTCTCACTCCCTCTCATCTCCTCAGGAGGCCTGTGCAGTCAGTTATCTTCTTTCCTTCCTATACATTCAGCCTCTCCTTCACTATTGACATTTCCACTCATCGTATAACACCACACTCATGTTCTTCAGTCTAAAACAAGAAAAATCTCTTCCAGTTCTGTCCTCCTCTAGCTCTGCCCATATCTCCTCCTTTCTTTCACAGCCAGCTTCTTTTTGTGAAAAACAAACTAACAAAACATGTTATTGATTTACTTAGTCATAAAAGGTATATGTGCTTACTGTTGAAATTTGCAAAACAGATGTTAAAAAAAAGAAAATAAGGAACATTTGTATGCCCACCACTAAAGATAATTACTAACATTATTGGTGTATTCTTAAACACAAACACACTCACACACTTAGTTCACTCTTTATATACAACTCTGTGCTCTTTAACTTAACATTACAACTTCAAAAATATGTTCTTTCCTTAAAAATTCTTTGAAATTGTGACTTTTTTTTGTTGTTGTTGTTGAGGAAGATTCACCCTGAGCTAACATCTGTGCCAATTTTCCTCCACATTTTTGTATGTGTGACACCGCCACAGCATGGATGGTGAGTGGAGTAGGTCCACCCCCAGGATCTGAACCTGTGAACCCAGGCCGCTGAAGCGGAGAGCACAGAACTTGAACCACTCAGCCACGGGGCTGGGCCCCAGAAGTCGTGACTCTTAACGGTTGTAAAACATTTCATTGTATGATGGTATATAATTTATTTAGACAATCCCCTATTGTTACATATTAATGGCCTATCCAGTATTTTGCTCTTGTAAATAACACGGCAATGAATATCATTGCTCAAATATCTCTGTCTATATCTCCGATTTCTTTAAAATAAATTTGAGAAGTGGACTTTCTAGATCAACTACTTCTAGATGAACATACTTAACCCATTAGTCTTACATAGTTATACTGATCTATAAAAATTTCATACCAATTTGTCCGAAAATGCTCATTTCACATCATTTTTGCCAACATTGTATATTACTATTAAAAAAAACTTGGCCAATTTTATAGGTTAAACAATGGCGTCTCTTGATTTTAATTTGCTATTATTTTCTGACATTACTGTTAATTGCCTACATTTTTTACGTGTTTAATGGTAATTTGGATTTTGTCTTTTCTGAACTGTCTTTTCCTGTCCTTCACCTAAAGCCTAACTACTTGAAAGGGCACCCTCCCTCCTTATACCTCATTTCATGCAGCATGGGCTCTGTTCACTCTGTCCCTGACACCAAGTCACCAGTTACTTTTTTAAATGCTCAATCTTGTCAGCTTTTCAGTATTTATCTTAGTGGACCTTCTTGGGCTTTTAGTTCCCCACACAAACCATCATGTTTTCATCCTTACTCCAGTCAGCCTTCCCCTGATCCCTCCAGCCTCCGGCCTCACCTCAGTGCCCCTCTGTGCTTTCACAGCACCTGGCACACTCTGTGCAACATCTACTGCTGCACTTTATCCTTTCCTGTGTTCACTGCCCTATGAGACTGCAAGTTCCTTGAGAGTAGGGACTTGTGTCATTCATCCTTGTATGTGCAGTGTCTGGTATATGGTACATAGTGGATCAGTGTTGAACTGACCTCACTGGCAGCATGTGGCCCTGGTAACCCTTCCCTCCTCCCTCCCATGGCTCTCCACACGTGTGTCTGGCTACTTCTCCTGGTTTCTTTATTTGGCAACTCTTCCTCTGCCCATCCTTAAATGTTGCTGTTCCCCAGAATTCTATCCTTGTCCTTCCTTTTTTCCAAATCTAATGGATCAAATCATATCTATAGGTGTCAGATTCCCATCAAGTACCGATGCCCAAACGTCTTCCCTGAGCCACAAACCAGATTTTCCAACTGCCTATTGGATGTTTCCACTTGGAAGTTCCACAGGCTCCTCAAAATCACCAAGTTAGACACTGGACTCACTTTCTTTTCTCCAAAATTTGCTCCTCCTTCTCTATTCCTCAGCTCGATAAATGATACTATCGTCTATCCAGATAGTGAAGCCAGAAACCCAGTAGACCCTCTTCTCTCTTTCTCATATCTAACTGGTCACCAGGTCCCGAAGAGTTTACTTTCTAAGTGGCCTTCTCCTTTCCTTCCTGCCGCTTGGTCCAGCTTTTTACCAATAAAATATCTCCTGGCTGACAATGAGGATAGTAGCCTTCCCAACTGGTCTCCTTGGCTCTAGGCTATTCATTTACCATCAATCCTCCACACTGCTACTACAGCGAACTCAGGAAAAGGCAAATCCCGTCTCAGATTCTACCTTCAATGGTTTCCTACGCATATAGGGTGCAGTCAAGACGTTTGGCTTCACAAGAGTACTCAAGGCCCTTCAAGAACAGGTCCCTCCTCTTCAAAGGACTCATCTCCGAGGCACCAGGGCTTTCAGCCACTCCTGGCTGCTGGCACTTTCCTGGATACAACTACCTTCCCTTGCCTCCATGCCTTTGCCCTTTCCCCTCCACCTGGAACACCCATTCTCTCTCTCTCTCTCTCTTTCTCTTTTTTTTAAGGTTAGGTCAAAACTCTGGCTGTCAGTCTTTTTTTTTTCCTAGAGTCTGTGCTTTTTTTTTTTTTTTAGGAAGATTGGCCCTGAGCTAATACCTGTTGCCAATCTTCCTCTTTTTCTTTTTTCTCCCCAAAGCCCCAGTACATAGTTGTATATCCTAGTTGTAGGTCCTTCTAGTTCTTCTATATGGGACACTGCCTCGGCATGGCTTAAGGGGTGGTGAGTAAATCTGCACCCAGGATCCGAACCCACGAACCCTGGGCTGCTGAAGCGGAACGCACGAACCTAACCACTATGCCACTCGGCCGGCACCCCCATTCTCTTTTGTTTGCTTACTGAACTCCTAAGCATCCTTCAAAATTCATCCTAAGAATTGTGTCAGGGGAGCCTCCATGAGCCCTCAGATCCTATGCCTCTGGCTGAGTCTGCTGTGCTCCCTCTAGTGCAGCCTCTACTCGTGTGCTACCATGTGCTTCCTTGCATGTCTCCCCAGTCAGATGGTGAGCAGTTCGAGGGAACTGGCTGTGTCTTATTCATTTCATCCAACTCAGAAGGACTCAATAAGTGTTCATGGGGTGATTCATGACCCTAGCTGGAACTAAAATCTCATCCATCCCTTCACATCTGAATGCCTAGAAGTATCACTATCACTGTCCTCACATTCTCACACTTCCCCCCTCCTTTCCCACACTGCACTTATGCTTTCCCCAACTGCTTCGCTGAAACTGTGTGGCAAATGTCATTAACAATCTTCTAAGCACCAAATCCAACAAATTATTTCCAGCCTTCATTTCCTCATCCTCTTCCCATCATTGACTTTACGGTCAAACCATCTCCTCCCTTGCTTCCCAGGTGCCACTGTCATTGACTCTCCCCAACTCTGCCTCTTCCTTCACAGTTTTGCTCTGGCTTCTTGTCCTCAGCTCACCCCTTACATGACAGTGTTTTCAGTCCACCTCTTTCCTTATTCTACACACTCGCCCTGGGTGTTTCATCTACCCCTACTGCTGCAGCTACCACCAGTATGCTGGGATTCCTACCCTTCTGTCTTCAACTCAGATTGCCTGTCAGTCTCACAGGCTCCTAACGTGCAAACTTGACCAAAACTGAAGCTGTCACCTGCCTCCACCCCAAGGGCAAGACCAGCTTATACTACAGGCAGGAGAGGAAGCCTGGCAGAGAAACTTACCTTGTGCCCTGGAAGCTCCCTTGGGCATGTGGGCTGGACCTGCTCAGGGCTCTCTTTTCCACAGCACTGAAACTAGAGAGGCAGAAAAACGCTTTTAGGACACAGGAGGGAGAGTCAGCAGCTACAAGCCTGGGCATTACTGCTAAGGACTGGGGGTCCTTTGCAGACACAGCAAAGCAGCTACAAGGCCCAGTCACTGCAACCCAAACCACCGTTTCTGGAAAGAGAGCAAAGAGTCACACAATCATGCTAGCCAAACAAGAAAATGACTTCTCTAAAGTTGTCTCAATTTTACGATGGGAAGTGACTCAAGGCAACCCAAACAAGGCAAGAAGCTAATTGACGGTGTCTGTGTAAATTGCTGTTTTTCACACAGGAGTTGGGCCTTTAGATTCTTTCTTTCAGCCTGGGAGTAATTTAATCTGCTGAGTAGCTCAAGTTTTATGAGCTTCAGGAAAGGCTCATTAACCAGGGACAGTCTGGGACGGAGAGGAGAAGTGGCCACAGTAAACCCCAGGGGCTAAAAGACCAGGGCTTGAAGACTAGCCGGCACACAGGTGTCCTGCCTTCGGGCTGGCCCTTCCAAGACAAAGCAACCTGTGTGCTCCTGGATGTCCTTGGGGCAGCTGAGGCTGAGCAGGACAATGGCTGGCACCTTCCAGGACACTCCTGTGACAGATAAGAATTGGGCTACCTGAAAACACTTGGCCCAGGAGTTCATAGCTACTTCTGACATCACAGTGGCTAAGAAATAAGGACGACTCTGGCCTGGCCCCTCTCTTCCTGAGACTTCCTTGATTAACTGCATGTAGCTCTGAGCACTGCACTGACAGCACATTCCCACAGGACCTTCCAGGAGAAAGGGAGCGTCTGTCTCACGTGCCCCTTCATTTTACAAACCAGGGAGCTGAGCGAGCACCAGGGAGGCAAGGGACTTGCTCAAGGTCACAAAGCTGTCCAGTGGCAGAGCTGCAGCTAGAAATGAGCTGACTTAAAGGTCATGGTTGTTTCTGTTACACCACAATGCTGCCCTTTGAAAGAACCTGATATTTATTTGGGCTGCTTTCTCGGTGTTCTTGTTCGTGCTCTTTTGTCTCTTTGGGGCACATGTCCTGACTTCCTCTTGTGAACTCTGTGTGTTAGGCCTCTTTCTCTTCTGAGTTCAACACCTAATGCAAACTGTGGCTCCCACAAGGGCGGAAATACGGTGCTGCTGCTAGGCTTCGCTGAATTGATTCTTATTTTTAATCCAGGTGATTAGAGAGAAACTGGCTCATGCATAATCTTTAGAAGATGTGATTTTCAGGAAGAAGTAAAGTTACTTACTGCTGAGTGGAAGGTAATGAGAGTCCCATTTCCCTTTTCCCTGTCTTTAAGGTAATCATTATAGGCCTCTTCATACATGGTCTGAACGTGTCGTATAGCCTGAAAAAACACCAGGAAGACCATGGGGACAGTGAGACAGGGGAAGTGTCAAATGCTCTCCTTTCATCAAGGAAAACCCCTTCTTCCTTACCTTCAAAAATACAGCCTTTCCATATGTTTATCTGTATTTTAGGATAATTCTGCATATATGGAACAGATTACAGATTCTGGAGTTTCTAAGATACTTTTGAAGATGGACGGGTAGACTAAGAATAATTTTCAGACACTAGGAAGATTTCTTAGGGTGGAGGTTCTCAAACCTGAACGGACATCAGCATCAACTGGACCCCAGGTGATTCTGATGCACAGCCAGGGTGGGGACCTGCGCATTCTTGGTACCCCACTGGCGAAAAGTACTCGAATCTTTTCATGAGATGGTTTAAAAGGTGTGCATGGCCAAGGAAAACTATTTTAGCATTCAAATAGCATACAAAAACTTAGAGAATGCTTTTTCTAGTATAAAGGTGTGTAACCCCAAATCCATAGAGATCTCAGAAAGACACAAGATCCAATTCCTCTAATCTGCAAATATAATCAGCTACTTTAGAAAAATTCCAAAGGAGGTGATATTTACTTATTCTACATGTTTACCATTTTTTAAATCTATAATAAGTTCATAAACACAATATTGACTGCACATGAATTTATGTGAAATATACTAGACTTAAGATTCCATTCTTCCTCCTTTTTCTTTTCACTCAGTGTGTTTTAACCTTCTAAAAAGGCTACTTCCTCTGTCGGTTCTCCTGATAACCTATTCCAGACACCTACAGTTTGAGCACAAATCTAAATAAACTGACTTCACCAGCACACAGCAAGTCAGGCTTTAGTCTCTGAGGATGACGTGGTGTCTGCCTAGGCCAAGCCCTAAGGACAAATGACAATCTAATAAGAGATGAGAATGCATGTTTTTCCCATCCCTCTTTCTCATGTCTGCAATCTAATCCCTACCCCATCTCAAACAGGATAATCTTAAACTAGAGATCTTTTTTTTTTTTAATCCTAGACCCCTTTGTAAATCTAATGAAAGCTATGAACTATCTCCTCAGAAAAATGTCTGCACATATATGCACGCACACTCATACACACACATGCTTAGTTTCTTACAATACTTCTCGGTTACAAAGTTCTGTGTAAATGATAATTGGGGGAATTATTTGGTTTTGTAATATCATTATGGGTATCAATAGTCTCATCCTTTGCCATAAAGAGAACACTTTAACCATCACAGAAAGAAACTGTAAGTAATTTTTACTTACTACATCCTTGCCTATAAAAGCAAATACTCCAGTGGTTACTTCAGCAGCAAATATCACCAGTAGGCAAGTGAAAAACTGTGGAGGAGAAAAAATACTAATTTCATTAATTCAATACCTTTTCAATTTATTTAGCTTCTTTGATTCTAGTTCCATTTGAAAAACATTAGGCAAGGTTATTAGTTTGAACTGATCTAGTAGGAAGCACTTGTCCCCTTAGTCCCCTTGTAGTTTGTCCATTCATTCATTAATCCACTGAGTAATCCATTCAGCAATGGCTTATTGATCATCTACTCTGTGCCAGGCACCATCCTCGGAGCTGGGTAGACAGTGGTGAACAAGAATAGATCTCAATGTCTCTCCTATCATGGACCTCATATTAGAAAGAGAAAGATAAGATAAATGAGTAAAGCAATCAAAAAGTGAGTAAGACAATTTCAGATAGTGATACAGAAATCCCACCCCCTAGAACAGTACCTGGCACCTGATGAACAAAAAAGGTTCTAGAAAGACAGAAAATATGACCAGGAGAGAGAGAGTGACTGGTGGGGCCTGGACCTGGAGAAGGTGTGACCTGAGACCATGTGGTCTGGAAAGGCTTCTCAGAGGAGGGGTTAATGGGGATGAGGGGCAGCCTTCTGGACAGATTTCTGTCCCAGTCTCTTGGGTCTGCTCTGATCAAACTAAGCTCAGTGGTAAACAAGAGAGAGAGATGCTCAGCCACAGGGGAGAGAGAGGAAGAATGGAGGGCTGAGGAAATGAGTCAGAAAGTTTACGTAACAGAAGAAGAGATCAGAAGAAGCGGTCATGTTTAACTTTAAAGACTGCAATGAGGAATGAGAGGCTGCCTAATAAAAGTGCTGTTTCTGACTCTTTATGGAGAAATAGAAGAACTTTCTGTCTTCCTGCCCCTCTTCCTCCTTCTCCTTGTTTCTCTTAGGTCACACTGGCACTGGATGTATAGCAGTTAACTGAAATTCTTTCTTTTTTTTTTTAAACAGAGGCTGCTGGTTAAAATAAACCATAAGAAGGATGTTTAGTTAAGTTATGGATCTCAAACAGCAATGCTGTTCTTGTAGATAACAGCATTCCCCTGCCTATAGCAATTTTTTAGCTGCCTCACTCACTGTGAAATATTATTTTGTTAAAGAACAATCATAATTGCCCATAAAAATTATTAGGCACTTCCTCTCAAAACATCTTCACACGAATGATCTCATTTTTTTCACTTTCCATATGAGGCAGGGACAAAGGTAATATTATTCTTATGCAAGAAATGGAGAAACAGAGACTCAGGGAAAGGGAGCCAGTGCCAAGGTCTCAGTGGGCCTGAGGAGCTGGCACTGGAGGCCAGACGGCTGGCTCCCTTCAGAACAGTACCCTCCCCCAAGGCCCCACTTACAGATCCGAGCACACACTGCGATTCCCGCGTGGCTCCGCAGCACCCGAAGAAGCCCACGGCCATCATCAGGGCCCCTGCTCCAACCAGCACATAGAGCCCTGCAAGGGAGAGGTCTGAGGAGAGCTGACCACTGAAAGTCAGCTGTCTCCCCCAGCACCAGTGTCCCACATGCAGAGCATTTGGTTGTTAATAATAGAATGGGTAATTGCTGTTGAATTCTTGCTGAGCGCTTCATACACCTGACTTTACCTGCCCAAGGATCCTGAGAGGTAGGGGCTACTGTTATCTCCAGCGAACAAAGAAAGCCAGGCTTGCAGAGGTGAAGGGACCCGCACTAGGTCACAGGACAAGCAAGGACGAGAAACCGCGTGTCCCCCACTCCCACAGCTCAGGCTCTTCATCATCTCCACATGCCTCCTACCTGCCAGGCACTTTATCTGTCAGATTTCCACCACCCCTATAAAGTGGGTATTACTACCATCCAGTGGTGGTCAGGAGCCAGTGCCAGAGCTGGGACACAAACCCAGCCTTCCTAGGAGCCCCCTGGCTTCCCACGGCACCCTGGAATTAACGGCTGTCTCCATCTTGTGAGAGGCCGTGAGGACAAAAGAGTCTGGGAGGGAAAGGGGGCTGATGACCTACCTGCCCAGGTACAGATGGGGAAGCAGGGAGAGGGTGGGACAGAAGAGGGAGGCTTTTGGTTAAGGATAGGGGCGGAGGACACAGCAATAAGGCAATAGGGTTTCGTGTGAACTATAAACTTTACAGGGAAACACTGTATACACTGGACACACAGGAGGCAGTAAGTGTTACAAGAGAATAGCCAACGAAGGGAGGCGATAAGGTAATGTACACCAAATAATGTTATTATTAATATAATATGAGCTACATTTTTTAAGGGCTTATTTTCTCTAGGCACTGTTCTAAGCACCTGGCACAGATTTATTAATTTAATCTTCATGAAGCAGGTACCATTATCATCTCCATTTTTTAGACAGAGGAACTGGGTGCCAAAAGGTTAAGCGATGTGCCCAAGATCATAGAGCTGGGATAAAAATACCTGTCTGCCTCTAAAGCTGGCTCAGCGCCATTCCCCTCTCCCGCCTCACCAGCAGTGAGAGCAGCCTGAACCCGGGTGGTAATTTCTCTTACTACCCAAGTCAAGCCACAGGCACAGTTGTTCTCACAGGGGAAGAAAAGGGCAGAAACGTTCTTGTTCTGAGAGAAAAAAAGCCAAGCTTTTTCTTATTTCCTTTTCTGATCCTGAGATAAGTTAGAACATAATACGGGCCTGGCCCTTGACTCGCTTAAAATAATGCTGATCACCTCTATTTTATTTTTTGCATTTTATTCATATGAGTCACCTGGAAACCACTCCCATTCATGGAGAGGGTGGGGAGCAGGCGACCCACCTCTGTGGGGAAACCCTAGGCCTGGTCTGCAGGGTGCCTCCGGGGGCCCCTCTGGGGTGCTGACGGTGGTTTGTGGGCAGATCTGTCTGTTCTCTGACACAGACAAAGCCGCAGGCCAGCCTGCTCTGCTTCCTGCGACGCCCAGCCTGTTCTCGGAGCCCTTCAGGGCTGGGGAAGCCCTGTTCCACAGTCCTGAGGCAGGTATTTGTTTATTTCCTGCAGTCCCGGCTCTGCCACTTCCTCCCTTTTCCTTTTCTCTAAAAGAATAATTTCATGGAGAATGGATGTGGTAATGAGAGAAATGATACCATATTAAAAATAATACTATTGTTGGCCCCACTGCTGAAACACCTTATTGTTTTAAAAAATTTCTTTATTTTTCAAAGCTCTTTCATTTCCATCATCTCATTGGCTCCTCAAAACAACCTCATTAGATAAGGCAAGTGTTATATTTCTGTTCTACTAGTAGGGGTCAGAAAGGCAGGATGGCTCCAGGCAGGACTCACAGGCCTGGCGCCCCGAACCCCATCCCACACTCTTATTTGACCAGCCCACTGAAACAGGTCACAAGGCAGCAGCAACCACACCTTACTCAGTTCCCTTACAGAACGTCTCACGGGGAGACCACCTTATTACACTGATTTCCTGCTCACAGTGTTCACTACCTCCCAACAGCTACATGAGGCAGCACACAGATTCTGCTTGGAGTCACAGCCTAGAGCCTGGGCCCACTTGGATCCTTATCCATCCTACACTCTGGCCACATGAGAATTCACGGTGATCTGACCCAGTCTGCTCTTTTCCATTTTGTATCTTTGCAGGTTCTCATATATGTCTCTCTCTGTAGATGTTAAATCCACGAACAAATCTTATTCATGCTACCTAGAATATGCCCAGCACAAGACAGAATTCTTGACCAGTTTGTTGGACGAGTGGATAAAGAGAGAGCAAATCAAATCTGAAGTTCTGGACTGGCTGTCTGCCATTGCCCATCCTTGCTTAGAGATGCATGCTGGGAATACATCTCAACATTCAAGAAGCCACCACAGGGCTGGGCTCTCCCAAGGTCAGGCGGATGAGAGCATGCTGCACATCCTCAGAAAGGGCTCTTGCGAGTCTGGAATATAGGAGAAAAGGGTGCTCCTGAGGAGGCCGGGGGCAGTGGACAGAGGCACAGGGGCCCGAGGACAGAGCTGCTCTCTGCTGCAAAAAAGATCTCTAAGTCCCTCGGGCAACAATCGTTGCCCTTCAGACATAATGACCCTCCCAAGAAAATTTGCTTATTTGTACAATGTTCCATTCTTAGGCTATCAGAATCCCAGAGCTCAAAGCAAAAACAACCTCAAACTGCCCAGCAGCTCCACTCCCTGAGGCCTCTCTCCTGTTTGTGCCTTTTGGGCCACGTGACTCAGCCCAATGCCCGGTGAGCACTGCTTGTGGGAGCTGAAGGAAAAATCAGAAGAAATTCTACACGTGGCAAAATTCCTTGGGTCTGCTGAATCCAATCCCAAATCTGGTTGTTATACTCTGCACACCATAAGGCCACCTGTGGCTTCCAGGGATACCACATCCTTTTTCTGACCTGGCCCTCAAAAAATAGCTGTTGAATGAATAAATTAATTGAGAGTCACATTTTAATTCCAAGAATTAAATTTTGGAATTTTGTAGAGCCCTCGCCCTCCCACAGCAGCCTGTGTGACAAGTGTATGACCTATTTCCCAGACCCCCCCACGCTTTCTGAATCCTATTCACCTTGATTTGAAAAAGAGAAAACACTGAAATTGCATTTTTATCATGAATAGCTGGGCCTTTTGATGCCAGTGATCTCCAGGTGACAAGCTACCAACAATTCCCTGACAATGTCATCACTTGTTTCTTAGGTTTCAGATTCTTCTTTTTAGGCTAGAAGCATCATTTGGTTAACACAGAAAGGAGACAGTGATGTCCTAAAAACCTTGTCTGCATCAACTCATTTCAAAATGGCTCCTCCTTGTCAAGACGGGATAGCAGCATGCTCATCAATTCAGTGGATTTTGGCCACAGATGGTTTCATACACCCGGCTAATGACCATTTTCCATCTAAAAATATTTTTCTCTGCCTCTGTGCAACTCTCCCTCTCTCTCAGCTTGCTCTCAATGCACATAATTATGTATCTAGAATGTTGGATGGGACTTAGTTTACGGGAAACGTTAGGACTCGGGTTCTCTCTAAATAACAACAACAGCTATCAGTTACTGAGTGCTGTTCTAAGAGTTTAAAATGTATCAGTCATGGAGCCATTCAACACTAAGAACAACAACTGCCACTTCCTGGTGGCTCAGCCTGCTCTGTGCAGCATCATCTCAGGAACCTGCCACCTGAGAAGCCTCAATGCTATCAACGGTTCTCTCATTCTGACTCTGTGGCCTCGGAAGCGCTCCTTTCTCTTCCTCTCGGATTCTCCCATGTGATCATGCCTCTCGCATCCTTCCCCAGCATGCCCTCATTACAGTATTAACCACAGCTAATATTTGTTGAGGGCTCACTACACAACAGCTACTGTACTTAAGCAGGTCCATATCTTAACTCATCTCCTAATCACATCAACTCTATGAGGTTTGTAGCATTAGTATTCATATTTCACAGCTGAGGAGTCTGAGACACAGAGAACTTAAGTAATTTACCTGAGATTGCACAGCTAGTAAGGGGCAAAACTGGAAGTGAACCCAGGGGGGCTACCCCAACGTGTACACCCAAACTCTTACGCTGCGCTTTCAGGGGGAACTCGGAAGAACGGCGACTCTCTTAGCTAGAAATCTGTTAATTTTGCAATTTATAAATAGCAGAAGAGTTCTTTTTCTTCTTTCTTGAGAAAAGTGCTTTAGGGGTCTCTCATGGATGATTTTTTCTAGTTTTTCCTCTGAAAGTCAGGGCTGGGAGTCAGAAATCCAGGCCTGCCAACTCTGGCTTTAGGTAAATCCTCTTACTCCTAAGTTCTGTTATCTGCAATATGGAAATAATTATCTGTTTTAACTTGTTGTAAAAATGCTTTGGAGAAATTGTCTCAACAATGTAAGCCTAAGCACATCTCTGTTCTGCAGCTACCATGACTCTCAGGTACAACTGAAAACCAAGAGGGAAAAAACATTACCCGAGTGAGTCAGAGTTTTGAAAAAGGCAAGCCGGCCCCTCAGCATTCAGCACTGGAACACTTTCCTTACACATCAAGTCCAGCCCTAGTCAAAGCCAGGCTCCGCGACTCGGAATTCAACAGGGAGAGAGAGCTTCGGTCAGCCTGGGATCCTGCAGAGCCAAGCGGCTGCTGTTTGTGTGGGCAACCCCTTCATGGAGAAAAGCTGCTCACGTCCTCTGCTCACAGACATGACTTCATGTGCTTGGGCACAGACCATCTGTCCATGCTGCCAAGGGCTGAGGGGATGGCTCCCCACTCAGCACTCCTGGAAAGACGACCCCGGTGGTGTCTGTCCCCCTAGAGGCAGCCCCAGAGACAAACTCTAAGAGGAAGTCAGAGGGGCAGGCTGGTGGAATTTGGAAGACGCTGGGGGCTTCTCCCAAAGGGAAGAAGAAAGCAGCGAGGGTCTAGGAAATACCACGTTACCCAAGCCTTTCTTGCCGCCAACTCCACTCTTGCCAAGCTCTCCTTTCTCCACATTAGCAACCAGTGACACACACACCCTGGATGGGC